GGGCACTTTGAAATCTAGACCGTATTTCCCAATACGGCAAATACGGTCTGAAACCGCCCCTGCATGGTTGCAAGCAGTGTAAATTAATAAATTAATGTCATTTTAACAACAAAGTAGCGCCATACAGTTGATTTCTTCATATTACTAAATATAGTTAGAACCTACGCGAACCCCCCAAAATGCGCATGTTAACCCTAGTAAAGTGTAGCTATGTTTATTTTTAAATTATATGCATTAGTAATAATATTTATGAAACACTCTAAACGTAAACATAAAGAAACTATGTGAAAAACGCGTCTCTCGTGACGTCACACGGATGACGTTGATTTGGGAACTAATTTTCTCGGCTGCGCGCATTATAGCAACTGGAAAACTAGCAGTCATTTGCGAATATAAATACTTCACGGGGTAGATTCGCTGCATCTTGCTCCATTTTTTACGACATGGCTGCTCTTCTTGCAGCATACGCATTCTTTGACAGTCATGCCAGCTCAGTGTATTCATCATTCACGGTTTTACTAATTCGGGAATTTTCAAGTAATGCTATCGTCATGATAGGCGAGGAGGGATGACTGTATGAAATAACTAATCTAGCCAATTGAAATGCTTCGCACAGTTAGAAAAAGCGCACCATTGCCCATATGCACCTAATCATTTTTCATTGCGACTATTTGACATTTGTCGGATGTTTTATTTATTTCTTGTTGATAAAGGGAAACTATTTTAAAGTACAAAATGATAGGCGATGACATTGCTGAATATTGCACATTGGAAATTAATTGTGTTCACAGAATAAATTAAGAATCCGCTCAACAAATTATCGAACATTACAGGCGTGTAAGCCGGATGTAAGCGTACAGGATGTATTTATCACATCAAAGGTCCATAAGAGAGACTGCTGCTGGAATTCACGTGCGTCAACCAGCACAACTCAATAAATAATGACAAGGTGACTGGCCCTCCACGTACCTACTAAATTCAGACATAAAGCTAAATATGCTTGGCAAAATGGAATATGACTGTATCTATCTCAGTACCGGAAACATTTGAAGCAATATCGCATGCGATTGTATGGTGACATTATTGTTCTTGAGACAGCAAGTTTATTTTTATCTAATATTTCGTTTCCTCTTTCCTCAGTGCAAATGTTGGCAACTTTAACATACTGTATATCTAGTGACGTATACTCCACAGAACATGAGCTACCTTAGCCTAACATGGTTAGTAGGATATGCTACATTGACTTGTGTTCCTATTCCCTATTATATTAAATCACGCAGCATTTGATGAACATTTTAATCTACATAAGCAATCTTGTACTATGAGCAAATTGACCATCATTCATAACCTACCCATCATCTATTTAAATTGACTAAGTCACGAATTTTCTATGGTAAAATTTGTAAACATTTTGTTGCCATGTTTTTACATTAAAAGTAAGAATTAACGGGACTAAACGTATCCTCAAATTCTTACCTGATAAGATTGTTTCTCAACTAGTTGAAAAAAAAACGGGACGATTTGATATTGTGTTCCTGAGATTAATTGCTTGCTATGGGCTATGTATGAGTCACGAGTGTATGTTCACATCGAACAATATAGTAAAATAAAAAGTATAATGCAGTAATTTAACTATAAAAAGTGAACAGAATTACTTATATTTTGTGAAAAAGTGGAAATTTTATTTTTATTTTTACTATTTACGGTGACGTAATCACTTTAAAGCCTATAACCGTCATATTATAGCAGTCATACATACAACAATCGACATATGAGCTTGAACATAGCTTCCAAGTAGAATTAGATGAAGTTTCTAGATAAAGTTCCGCCTGCTTCCACGCCTCTCCTATCCGTATACATCACGTCATGGTACTATAGCATATTACATATTACTCTACCATACTAGAGGAGTTTAAAAAACTAAAGTCGTGTGTTATTAGTATTGTTTTTGCATGCGTTAGGTTAGGGTACATGGTAACTTTCGTTCATGAATGTTAAACTATTAAGATATTAATTTTATTATATACCGGTATTCTGAAACCAGACATAACTGTCAGCAGTGGTGAATATGGATTAGAAGTCGTATTTGTAGAACCATGCGTGCTGGAATTCACGTGCGTCCTATACTACACAATCAGTGCTGTAGTAGACGACGTGCCGTACGTGGCTTTCCTATGATATCTGCCAGGCTGCCTTGTAGTCCTGTATTAGGCACGCTGCACCAAAATCAGAAATGTATCGGCAGCAACGTATTCTAAACCACAAAAATTAAAAGCAAACAAGAAATTAATATCTTTGATATGCTGTATTTTCATACGTATAGAATTTGCGGTAAATTTAAGGTTGTCCGCCATCTTTCTTCCAACAAATGTACAGTATGCAACTAGATAAATTAACTCATCAAATTAATCATTTAATTCATTAAATCAAGACATTTTGTGGATCAGATATTTCATAAACGATACGCTGCAAACAAGCACAATATGACAGATGTCTATGTCATGAGCTCCTGTCGTGAAGATGGCCATAAGCAGCGGATGTGTGTGTGTGTGTGTGGGTGGAAAGTGAACGGAA